ATACTTGATATGGTGATTAATGCTCTAAGAAATGAAGAATTGGAAATTAAATATGAGAGACATGGCAAGGAGAGTGAGAACCTATTTGTGAGAAGAAGATCGCTTACTAGACATAGTAATAATCAAGGTAACCAAAATAATTAGTGAAATAATGCTTCTAAGAAGAAGGGGAAGGGTAGACAAAGGTCAAAATCTAGGAATGGAACTAGAAAATGTTATGGTCGTGGTAAAACAGGTCATTACATTAAAGACTGCTTTAAAAATAAAAATGAATAAAGAAAGTTTAAAATTGATGAAGGGAACATAGTTGAGCCTCTAGGTGAGAATATTGTTGATGTCTATGTTGTGACTGAGCCAACATCTGATTTGAATTCTGCAAATTATGTAGACAATTCAAGTCAGAGTGTTTAATGGATCTTAGATTCAGGTTTTACCTTTCGCATGACCTCTAGGAAGCATTGATTTATTGATTTTAAGGACTTAGATGAAGGTGAAGTGGTTATGGGTAACATTGCAGCCTGTAAAGTGTTGGGGATAAGCGGTGTGGCTTTAAAATTTGATAATGGATACACCTTCACCTTAGAAAGGGTGTGAGGTATGTACCAGATTTAAATAGAAATCTGATTCAGTTGGAAACTTAGATGACATAGATCTCCAAAGAAAATCTAGAGATTGTTTCTTGAAAATTGTTAAGGGATCCTTAGTTATTTTCAAGGGTATTAAAAGAAATTGAATCTATGTCACTAACGCAAATGTGTTGATTCACACTGCAGAATCCTCTATGGCTGAAAATGATGCTACATTGAAATGGTATAATAGGCTAGCCCATGTGAGTGAGAAAGGTTTACACATCTTATGTAAGAAGGGCGCCTTTGGTAGTGATGTGATTTCTAATATTCCCTTTTGTGAATATTGTACCTTAGGCAAATAGCATAGACTTCACTTTAGTACAGGGAAACATAGAACTACATTTATCCTAGAGTATATGCATTCTGACTTGTGGGGTCCAACATCCACCACCTTTCAAGGTGGGAATATGTATTTTTTATCCTTAGTTGATGATTTTTCAAGAAAAGTATGGGTATTTCTTTTGAAACAAAAGTCAGACACTTTTGAAAAATTTAAAACTTAGAAAATTTTGATTGAAAATCAGATGGATATAAAAATTAAAATTTTAAGAACATATAACGGACTATAATTTTGTAATCCTAATTTTGAAACATTGTGTAGGGATGATGGTATTTTAAGACATAAAACAGTACCATATGCTCCACAACAGAACATTATAGCTGAGAGGATGAATAGGACAATCCTAGATAAGGTTAGGTGTATGATGTTCAGTTCAAGTGTCCCTAAAGTGTTGTGGGAGAGGCTGTTATGACAACACTTTATGTCATAAATAGGACCCCAACTAGTGCATTGATGATAGAACGCCTGAGGAAGTGTGGATAGGTAGGTTACCCGACTATATACACTTAAAAACCTTTTGTTGTGCAGCATATTCACACCAAGGTGTTGGAAAACTTGAGCCTAGATCCCATAAATGTGTTTTCATGAATATCTTGAAGGAGTGAAGGGGTACATGCTTTGGGAAAGAGAAATTGGGGGTTTTAAGATGATAACCAGTAGAAATATAACCTTCAGTGAAAATGAGATGCCCTATTTAGATAGAAAAGCTTCTAGTGAGGTTTCTAAGGGTCAGGAAGAGGAGAATACAAGGCTGAAGGTGGAACTCGAACCTTCACCTGATCATGTTGTTGAAAATCAAGATGAAAATGAGATTGTGGAAGAATTAGGTGATGAAACTGTTCAAGAGCCTGCTGGTGAATTAGTGAACCCCTTGAGTGATTATTAGTTAGCTAGAGATATGGTTAGAAGAGAAATAAGGGAGCCTATTAGGATGCAAGACTATATGTCACTTGCTATGTTGTCATATGAGGATTTGACTTTTAAGGAGCCGAAATCCTATGAAGAGACTATTAGTTGTCAGTTTTTTAAGGAATGATAGCTTGCTATGGAGGAAGAAATGAGGTCCTTAGTGAAAATTAAGAACTGGAACTTAGTGCCTAAACATGATAATAAATCTCTAGTTGACTATAAGTGGGTTTATGCGGTAAAAGAAGGCGATCCCCCGAATCAGCCCATTAGATTTAAGGCCAGATTAGTGGTTAAGGGGTTTACCCAAAAACCTGGCATAGATTACAATGAAATCTTTTTTCCTGTTGTAAAATATACTACCATTAGAGTCATGCTTACATTAGTTGCACAATATGATTATGAATTAGAGCAAATGGATGTTAAAACTGCGTTCTTGCATGGTGACCTTGATGAAATCATATATATGAGACATCCATAAGGTTTCATTGATAACAGAAAATCTGATCATGCATGCCTGTTAAAAAGATCACTTCATAGCCTAAAACAATCTTCTAGGCAATGGTACAAACGCTTTGATAACTTTGTGTCTTCAATTGGCTTTGTGAAAAGTTCTTTTGACCATTGCTTTTATTTTAAAAAGGATAATAGCAACTATGTTTTGGCCAGAAAATGAGTGATATAAACGAGATTAAAAAGGTTCTAAGTGCTGAATTTGAAATGAAGGGCCTAGGGTATGCTAAAAGGATTTTAGGGATGATTATTAAGAGGAATAGGTCACAACAGTTATTAATTTTATCACAAACCGATTATGTGAAAAAGGTATTATCCAAGTTTAATATGCATGATTCTAAATCTGTGACATTAGCCCTTGCATGTCATTTTAAGTTGAATAAAGATCAGTGCCCACATGATGATTAGACATTAAATATATGGAAAAAGTGCCATATTCTAATACAGTCGGATCTGTAATGTACACCATGGTTTGCACATGACCCAACGTTGCACATGTTATAGGTATCTTACGTAGATTTATGTCCAACCTTGGCCCCGAACATTGGAATACAATGAAATGGTTATTAAGGTACTTAAAAGGCTCGGCAGACCTAGGCTTATGTTTTAGACCTAGTAAAGTGGGAGTTAGCTTAAAATGATATGTAGATTCTAATTAGGTCGGTGATAGAGATAACAAGAAGTCAACTACAGCCTATATGTTTACTTTGTGTGACACTTGCATTAGTTGGAAGTCTCAGTTGCAATCAATTGTAGCTTTATCAACTACAGAGACTGAATATGTGGCTGCTACCGAGGCCATTAAAGAGGTCTTATACTGAAAGGTCTTCTAAATGGGGTAAATGAATCTGTTGATCCCGTTGTTGTATATTCTGATAGTCAAAGTGCTATACATTTATGTAAAAATTCAGTTTTTCATGAAAGAACTAAACACATAGATGTAAGAATGCATTTTTATAAGAGATGTTGTACAAAAAGAATCTATTTTGCTTGAGAAAATCCGTACTCAATTTAACCCCGCTAATATGGGTACTAAGGTGCTTCCCTTAAATAAGTTTAAGTCATGTTTGCAACTTTCAAGAATTGATACTAGGTAAATTTGTGTTGGTGTAGGTGTATTTGACTTAGTGCTAATGATATGTGGGAGATATACCAATTGCTTAAGAAGTCTATTATTATAATTTCTTTTCTTTGTGTGTCTTTTGATCATTGACATCAAGGGGGAGATTTATTGGGCCGTGATGCCATTTTCTTGGTGGTTCGGTCCATTTGGGCTATGATGATAACTGACCAATTTTTCAGATACTACAGACCCTTGCCTAATAACACACTGTGATGGACTCTATTGACACGGCCCAAACCATCTGACCCACGTGTGTCACTCTGGTCCGTTTGATTTCCTAAACCTAACATCTACGGTGATGACCCATTAATATAAATATAAGGTCCGAGACTTTTGGCCCTAATTTTGAGTCACTATTCTTTGCGCCTCTTCGTGTGTCTTTTGTGGAATCTTCTGGGTCTCTTCTTTTTGAGACTTTGTGTCTCTACCTCTTCATTTTCTTCTTAGTGAAACTCTCCCTTTAACCAGTACACCCTTGGTTTTCCGGTGGTTCTGTGTGTGTAGAATCTTGGTGATTCTTCGGTTTCTAGTTGTGAAGAGTTTTCTGTTGGTTTCTTGGAGAGTCTCTCATTCTATTGAAGCGACTGCGTTTGGGTCTGGGTTTGGGGCTGCGTTTTGTGAGTTTAATCCTTTGTATAGACGGGTACAAGGTGGATCTGAGCCCAAATCTATGATGTCTGTTGCCTTTGGTCGTCTATTTCCTTGGAATATCGTTGGGATCTTGGGTCCTTGATTTGTAAAAGTGTGAAAATGTTAAAATTTCCTAACTGGTACTATTACTTTCTACATTCATAAAGTAGTTAGAGAATGAAATTCGTTAATTCTCAATAAGTTGAAACTCTATCTATCTTTGTACATCTAAATATATTTGATTCAATCCTTATTTAACATTTCACTAGCAGGATGAAACTAGTTTTAATCAAACTATAATAGCAGAATGTAACTTTACCTTTACCAATCGTTATATGACAAAATGAATGTCAAACAAGAAAAGGCAAATAAAAATGAAAAAATATGTATTCGTTCTATTAGCATCTTTTAGCAACAAACTTTGAAAAAAGTTTATTCATGAATTTCATGATAAATATGAATGTAATTTAACATTTAATATTATTAGCTCTCATTTAAACATATATGTTAACTTATATTAAATATATTACTATAATGTTGATAGGTAAACCGCGAATTAAAATCGAATCAAACCATAAATTATGGTTTGATTTGGTTTGGTTTGATTTGAAAAAATTTTAAACCGCATAAAATGATTTAAGTTGAAAATATAACATAAACTGTCCAAATCGAACCGCGTTCACCGTTATCGTAGTGTGTGGGCTCAACTTCCATTCAAAATGTAAAGTTGGAGCAAAAAACTCGAATATCGAAAACCCGACTCGTTCTAAACCGATTTGGATTGGATTGGTTTTCTTTATTCGGTTGGATCGGTTATTTATACTTAAAACCAACCCGATCCGAACCACAAAATTGAAAATACAAAACATACCGTATGTTAGCTAGCTCGCCGTCTCTCTCACCGTTGTCCCTGGCGCGCCGCGCCCACTGGTGATTTTTCCCCATCCTGAAGAAGCGGGAAAGGAGCACTGCTGAAGAATTGATTAAGTGTTGAAGTGAAACTGGTTTACTGTCTGTTGTACGCTTGAATCCGACTGTAAGTTTCCTTTTATCTTCAAATACATCAAAATCCTTTTTTTTTTATGAGTTAGGCCTAATTTAGAAAAATGACAAAATGCCTTACGCCCACATGTATTGGTCAGTAATGTAGATTTCTAGCTCAAGGTGTCCATCTAGCATCTATTTTCTTTTGATTCCGTGTGTTCTTCAAATGATTTCAGTTGTTCTATAACGAGCATTTATAATCAAATCCTAAAGATTTTGATCCGTCAAAATGGCACTTTTTGGAAAATTAAGATGGATTTCGCGAAGATTTACTACACTTGCTGCGACTCCTTTACGTATTTGTGTTGTTGGTAGTGGACCTGCTGGCTTCTACACTGCAGAAAAGGTATGTTTTTTCTGTATTCTTTTGTCCATCAGTTGGAATTGTGTTCGTTTTTATGTGTAAAATTATGTACTATTGCTGTCAAATAAGTGGTGTCCATTTTTCATCTCATTCTTTTTTGGGATTTTCTAGATTTTGAAGGCACATAAAGAAGTAGAAGTTGATATAGTTGACAGATTACCAACTCCGTTTGGATTAGTGCGGTCAGGCGTTGCACCTGATCATCCAGAAACAAAGGTCTTCTTCTTCCATTATATTCGTGTCTACGTGTGCAATGTCAAGTGTTTCTTTGGAGTTGGGATGTCAAACTTGTCTTCAATTTTTAGTTATTATGTAGTTTAGTATGTAAGCAGACATAAATTGAGATATCCAAATGAGAGTTGTTTGAGTTAAATTCAAATTATCTCTTTCTTTAAAACCTCAAAGTCTTGTTTTTGAGGGTGTTTATTTATAAACATCATCGGTCAAACCACTTTTCATTAACACATTTTGTGGAGATCTATAAGTACTACCCTTTATCGACAGTTCCCAAACATGCAGTAATGGGATGAAATTTGGAAATCATGAAATGCTAAAATGCCCTTCATAATTGCGGAAAGCTGTGTTGATACTAGATAAATACTAGAACCACGTGAGTTGCAAATTCAAGAAAGAAACAAAGAGAAAATCTGTGTTCATTTTATGCTGTAATCCAATCTATGTTGGAGTTCCCCTATTTCATTTGATTGACTATGCACAATTATGCTGAAAAGGGTGGTTTTTATGTAGAACTATATTTTTTTGGTTAGTTATCTCAGTCAGCTTTTATAATACTTGTTTACATGCATTTTTATTTTCTCCAAGAATAAAGATTCTTAATTGGACTTAGTTTATAAGAAATTTCTCAACAGATAGTGATTAATCAGTTCTCTCGAGTTGCACAAAATGACCGTTGCTCATTCCTTGGGAATGTGTCTGTTGGTTCCTCCGTATCTTTGCCTGAGCTACACGAGATGTATAATGCGGTAAGATACTGGATTTAGACAAGGCATTTGGTCAAGATAGCTATTTTCTTTCTTTATAAGATAATGCGAGATGAAATTTCTCTTTAGGTAGTACTTGCATATGGTGCTGAAAGTGATAGAACTCTTGGCATTCCAGGAGAGGTACTTAAAAATAAACTTAGCATGTCTTTTTGATGAGTTCCCCTTAATGATTAATGATTGCGATGTTGCTCTTCCTAATGGTGGAGTGCTCGTAATTTAAGTTCAATAATTTATGAATCAGTTCTCATTTCACTTTTGTAAATTATGTAAGGAGTTGGGTGGAATACATGCTGCCAGAGAATTTGTTTGGTGGTATAATGGGCATCCAGACTGTAGAAATTTAGCTCCAGATTTGACAAGCACTGATACTGCTGTTATTCTTGGTCAGGTACTTTACATTGCAAAATATATGCTGCAAATTGATGGATATGAGATTAATCTTTTTATTCAAACTTCAGAATATTGCTATGTTTAGACTATTTGAAGGGTTTATTGTCAATATATTGGTTTGTCAATGATTAACAATCACATTTATCCAAATGTGATAGTCTAAAGGTCAAGCTGCATACTTGAGGAGGGCCAAAATGAAACTGATTAAATAAATGTGAAGTAGCTATAGCCTTTGTTTGATATATATTAATATGTGGCATTTTAAAAGCAAATTGGATTTTAAACCATCCTGAATTCTTGTAAGATTGATAGATTTACAGAAATTATGTTCCTATTTTTATGATGCTAACTAAATATACTTCAAGAAAGGATCATCTCAATGTAAAGAACCATTAAGCATGTATATGGAATAAAAATTCCAAAGTAACTTCTTATACCATGAATGGGTATGGGACCAGAGGCGCATACAACAAAAGGAATTTTTTGTTCTCAGGAACTTCATTGCCAAAGATTTTGCTGTCTTCTTGACCATAAGCTGTACTTGCTGTTAGGGTAATGTGGCTCTTGATGTGGCTCGAATTCTTTTGCGGCCAACAATGGAATTGGCAAAAACTGATATTGCAAGCCACGCATTGGCTGCTTTAGAAGAGAGCTCTATAAGGTTTGACTTCTGCCATACGGTATCATTCAAACACGTTTAGCAGACTTATCAGAGAAGTACTTGAGTTCACAATATAATTGCAGAAAAGTTTATTTAATTGGAAGACGTGGACCAGTACAAGCAGCCTGTACTGCAAAAGAATTACGTGAAGTTCTTGGTAATATTATTTTACCTTTTTCTATCCATAGTATTGGAAATAATATATTCTATAAATTTTTTATCATTTCACTAATGCCCAAAATTTTGGGTTTCAAGATTGTTCTCTTTATCTGTATCCTGTTCAGTACAAGTGGACTATGCCCTCATCCGAATGCAAAAAGTAGTTTATGTACTAATATTATTATGGTATTCATGTCTTAGTTCAATATATGACTGTAAACATTAGATTACAATGACCTGAACATGTTACAGTTTCCTGTGCCTCAATTTGAAGTCATCTGGAGTGTGTTTTTCTTCTGTAATTGGTCGATGGTCATGTTTGAGTTGGGGTGGAGAAACTTTGTAATGCCATCTGTTTGCATTTGTCTAAGATTTGGAATCACATCACTCAACTGAAAGGAGGGGTTTTAAGAACTCTGTAAATTTGTATGAATGTGTTTTTTCATAGAATTGCAATTTGGAAATATGATGTAGTTTTTAGTAGGCATTATAACCTATATCATTAGATAAAATATGTGATGTTGCTAAAAAGTATAGTTTTAACTAGTAAACTGGAATCTTGTTGCAGGCATTAAAGACATCTCAATTCAAGTTAAGCAAGCTGATTTAGTTACAACCCCAGCAGATGAGGTAAATTTTTTACACTAACTTTTGTGCCTTTTGTTTCATGGTTAATTCAAGCTATATCCTTTTCACTCTAGTTTTATATTCGATTTATGCATTTTCACCATATCCATGGAGTTTGTTTATTTCATAACTTGGCAAGGTAGTAATGAAGAACAACAGGATCCGAAGGAGGGTTTATGACTTGATTTTGAAGGCAGCCTCATCAGGACATTCTCCTCCTCTTCCAGATCAACGTGAACTACACCTTGTCTTCTTTCGTAAACCAGATAGGTTTCTAGAGTCAAAAGATAGAAGTGGTCATGTTGCTGGTGTACTTCTCGAGGAGACAACTCTCCAAGGTAATTTTCCTTAATAATTGCTGTTGAAAAGGTCTGTAAGAATACTACATGCTTCTTTTTCTTTTTTCTCTATTAATTGTTTCTTAGATGTCATAGCATGTGAGCTTATGATTCGAACTGTAATCCAGCATAAAAAATTCACTGTTGAAGTATGCAAATAATAGATATTTGTCACTTTCTTAATTTCTATGCAATATTTTCCTGTTTAATCAATTCAGTGATTAGGGTGATGAGAAAATATTTGGAATGGCCTAAGGAAGCTTTTATGCATTTAGGGTTTGTTTGGGATGTTTTTAGATAACATGACTTGAATGCATATTTTCTTTGAAACTTTTATTAGATGATTAGAATCAAATGAAAGTGGTTATGTTCTGGAAAATAGATTATGCTTCTTTTTTCTCGTGTGCATATTTTATGTTCCTTGATTTCGTCGTTCTCCCGATTTCCAATTTTCATAATTAGTTTTTTTCCTCCTTAGCTATTGGCCCTTTGTACATTACAAGAGGTGGAATCTTTTCAACATTCAAGCTTTATGATTCTGCCTGTGTAACATATTGCAATAGTAGAAATTTTTTGAGGCTGAGGTGAAGATCTTGTGCATAAAGTAACTTAAAATCTTATTTTTATCACGTGGAGAGAGTTTCCCTATTTCTTATGTATAGAGAAAAACTTTTAAATGTGAGAAGTTCTTGAAGTTCACACTGCAGCTTTTTACAAATTTTACTTATACATCATTGTCTCAGGTTTGTGCAATGCATGTTCGAAATTCATGTTTGTTGTGTATGCTAAAGTAGAATATGAACACAAGTACTTTGTGTAAGGACTAATTGTAAACAGAAAATATTATATCTTTTGTTGCTTGAAGATTTGTATTCGATACCAAAAGTTTTATGCCTTCATTTAAATGTTTATGTTAATGGAACAAATGCCCTTCCCCGATTCCAACATTTGGGCCTGGTGCGTTAGAAAACAAAATTCAGGTTTTGAAATTGTAATAAAACAGGCTCTTATCTATTTATTTTATTTTGGCGTGTGATCAAATCGTGTTCCAGTTTAGAGTTGCTCATATAAACATAGTACATTTTTGATTGAGCATCTCTCATATTTGGCGTTACAAATTAACCCTGGTACCTGTGCTCTTTTCTGTAGGAGATGATCTGGGAAAACAAATTGCAGTAGGTAATGGAGTATTTGAAGAAATATCGTGCGGGTAAATGCACTGGATCTCAACCTCTAATTGTAAACCTCCCTTGAAGTTGTATTGCATCTCTGTTTTTAGTTTTTACTATACCTTTTATGGCGTTACACGATGATGCCAAAATTCAGTTTATACCGTGTGATAGGATGCACAAGTATTTTCTTGAAGTGAAATTGTGAAAATCTCACTATTGTAATCAATAGCAGGGGGACTGAGTGGGGCATGGGTTGGCCATTAAACTTTCAACTAGTGCTGGACATGGTAGAACCGAACCAAATCAGAATTTCGGGTATTTAGTAAGTGGAACTTTCGGATTCAAATTTAATTATGAAACAGAACCGGTTTCATTCCATTTGGTTCTGTTCAATTTGATTTCATACTATAATTAAATTTTTTTAATTTTTACAACAATACATTAATCTAGCTAATGTATATTCAATCTTAACTCCTACAAAATAATGTAGTTTCATTTAAAAACGTACATATAACAAGTTGTCTAATAAGATCCATTCACCAATGTATTCTCCTAATTGTTACCTGAATCTGCATCACCAAAGAATCAAATTATCTCAACATTTAAATTAACTTTCTACTTTTCTCCTTCATTCAAAGCACTGGCTTGATGATGGAAAATTGCTAATTATTTACCATAATTAATGCTTAAAAGGCACGGACCACATCCTACTATTTTAAAGTGTCGTAAATACTGTGTTCTGTTCCCTTTCGTTTACTTAAACTGTGCCTATATTGTGTGTTTGTGTTGACATGAAATTCGTGTGAGCTGACTGTTGCATACCTGAATTCGAGTTTGGTTTGGTGATAATTTTGTATCAAAGATTCACATGTTGATCATGGCGGCATCAGGTGTCTATGTTGGAGAACTTCGTGGGTGCTCCATTCACTGACAATGCTGTAAACTTGGTTGAAGAGAAGCGCAGCTTTGATTTTGATTAGGTTCTGAATGGGGCAGAAAAAGTTAGGCAGAATGAATGAGAAATTAGGTCAATTTTGATTCTTTGAATTACAAAGTTGGGCTTGGGACATTTTGGGCTCAAGGTGGGCTTGATCCTTGTGAGTTGGACTTAATTTGTCAATTGGCAAATTTAGCTAGAAAAAAAATTAAAATTTTTTGGCTTATTTAATATATATATTTTTTAAAATACTTCGGTTCTTTGTCTAGAATTGATAACCGAATTGAACCAAACCTATACCCGTGGTTTCTCGATTCTAATACCCATTTGGGTATTTAACTTAAGAAGAGGTTCTGTTCAATTTGATTCAAGAGTTTTGTGCAGTTTTAATTTCAACCATTATTCAATTTCCAGAGAAAATGAGAAGAGGAAGGTTCATTGATGGGAATGGGGCTTCTTTACTATCCACATCCATTGATTGTATTATTTATTTGTCGGTAATGTGTTCTCTTGTTGCTTGCAGGTTGGTGCTGAAGAGCATTGGTTTTAAATCAGTAGCTATTGACGGTTTACCATTTGATCATGACAAAGGTACATTGAAAAATTGCCACACTGTCATTGAGGTTTACATTTCAATCTTACCCAATTTATGTGATAATATATGATGCACGAACACTCCTACTAGATCGACAATCAAATACTCCATGGCATGAGTCCGACAAGCCACTTCCCATGTCCTATTTCTTATATCCTCCTCATATTTCTAGTGCTTGAGGGATACTTGGTGGGATTCCTCAGGCAAATGTCCGATATGGCATGTGCCTTGTCCCATATCAAAAAGTATGAAATAAGGACCTGTGTGTGTCGTACTTGTAAGAAAAACCATATTTTGCCGTGTCCATGGTAGTGCAACTTAGGTGGTAATTGTGTGGAATCCCAATTCAAACAGCCAGGCCATATAAGTATGGTCCTCTTCATTTTGCCACGACAAGTTTATGACCTAGTACAGATCGACACATATGGATTGCCCATGGTTAGAGGTCTCTAGGTTTTTTTGCTGATTTTATTACGTTTATACAGGAGGTAGTATCTTTTCATTTACTGCTATAAGATTACCTTTTCTGACCTGAAGGTTAGGTTTAAGCCCCTTTCCTTTCTACACATTTCTATTTTATATACCGTAGGGGATACCCTACACCCTATGTCCTGCGGTGGTGGAGCCTAAAAAACCACACTAGTGTTGTGATGGTTTTTCTAATGAAAAAGTATTTAACTTAGCGGACTTGAAATTAGATAAACTGACCTTATTTCTTGGATTTTTTTTTTTATCCTGTACTCCATATCTGGCCATCATTTTTTTGCATGGAACTATAATTCTCAAATTCTTATTTGTCAACTGCAAAGAAATGTTATTCCTTCCCACCTTCAAATTTCCCAACCTCAGTGCTTTTTATCTTGACTTGTTTTCCAGGAATTGTTCCAAATGTTGGGGGTCGTGTTTTGGCCGATTCATCCACTGATTTTCCACAATATGAGACAGGATTATATGTTTGCGGGTGGTTGAAGAGAGGACCGACTGGGATCATTGGCACCAACCTTTATTGTGCTGAAGAAACTGTGAGTGTATTTCTTGTTCCATGAACAGAATTGCATGTGCTCTTATTCATGGTTATCATCAGAGATTTGAGTGAACGATTTTATCATTTAATGATGAACAGCGATTGTGATATATTTTTGCTAACTATTTTGCTGATCACCTAAATCCGTGGAAGGTTGCGAGCCTTTCCGAGGACATTGAGAGAGGAGTACTAACTTCTAACTCAGCAAAGCCCGGGAGAGGAGGACTACTTCAGTTGTTAGATAGAAGGAATATCAGAGTTCTCCAATTTCATGACTGGGAAAGAATTGATACGGAAGAGAAAAGGGGTGGGAACTTGAAAAACAAACCCAGGGAAAAACTTGCGACATGGGAGGAGTTGCTACAAGTTGCCAGCAAATGAAAGCATCTTTCTTTGTGGGTAGTGTAGATGGTTAACGCTTCAAACAAACTAATACTTCCATTTCCATCAGAGTATGTTATCTTTTCATGAACTGACCCTGCTTTAGTTTGTTGGGCCATCAACACGTGTGAATAATTTTATACGATATCGTTTCCTAGAAATAAATACAAAGTGGCAGAGGATTGTACTGATGGTTTCATCTGCATTATTACAGGTTTTTTTAGCCTGGCACGCAATTCTGAAAATTCGAGCAAAGAAAGGAAGAAACCAGAGACGTAGTTTTGCGGAAAATACAAGCTTTTCTCATGGGAACATTTCATATTCGGTATTTTCTTTAGATCACGTGGTTGATCAATATAATTACCTGGATTATGTGCATATAGTTGCTAGGGATTACCATCTTAGACAACATGAATTTGTGTTATTTATTAATTGCTAGTCCTTTGGAAATTGTACTAGTATTTTATTTCAGTTTTGATTAGTTGACTGCAATACGTGCTTGTCTGACTTGATAATTTTACACATGATATATTTTGTATGATTTGCGATATTCACTGACAGCTTCATTGCCACAAGTCAGTGTATATTTTGTATGATTGTAGTTCATTACAGATTATTATTTACCATAGATAGAACTGAACTTAGATAGGGTTACAATCTTGTGTAAATACATTTTGAGTTACATGTAATCAATATAACACCACCAAGTTATCAATTCTCAATTTGTTACCTGAGCCAGCTTCCCCAAGACCCTACTGTTTGAATTTTCTCCAAAATCTAATCCTTATTTCTAAATTCCCCAATCCCCAAACCTAGCATGCCCTCATTAAGAAGACTGACACTTCAGAAAGCCTCCGATGAGTGTGCGACACCTCCTCGACCTTTTGTGCATGACATCTTTTCTGGTGTTTGTGACCAAACTAACATTTATCATTTTCTCATACTTAAGCTTAATTAGTGTCCTCTTTTATATTTCTTGGATTGTAATTGGAGCTACATTTATAATTGAATGGCATTCAGACAAGAAAGCTTCCTGGATGAACACTGCAAGTTATCTTGAACGCCAACTCGAAATAAAATTTCAATTCTAAGGTCTATTTGTCTCCTACCTAGCCGAGTGATAAAAGAGTTTATATTATATCTCAGGTGTTTAATGTTGAAAAACTCTCAGTTATTGTTATGTTAAAATTGAGTGTGGTGGACGAGATCGCTTGGTGGGGAGTGTTTTTCTTGTTCTTCCTCTTCGTGACACATAAGTGGCGATGGTCCATCCTCTAAAGTCAAGTATTATATATGTATTTTTGAGATGTAGTGACATGATAATAATTATATCTATACAATAGTGTGTGGTTTGTAAAGTAAGATGATGGAAAATATTACTTACAATTTGGACTTTAACCCTTGTGTATTTATGGGCATGTGGAACGAGAAGTCATTCATCACCTGGAGTTTTGAATTTGAAGTGTCATCTGATTATATGACCAAGAGAGCTGGTTATTTGCTTTGCTTGGTTCATTGAGATGTAAATACATGTGCAATATAACATTGAGACGTTACTGAGTTGTGGAAGCAAAGGTTATTTGTGATATTTACTTGGCATGATCATGACCAGATCTTGCTTATGTCCCTTGCGATGCTCTATAGAAATTCATGTGCATTGAGCTACGAAAATCTATAGAAGCAAAAGTTTGTTCAGGTTGTGTTATTACTTGTTAGAAGTGCCTTCATCCTTGTTGCAAGTTGAAGGAGATTCACTGTATAGAGTAATGTTATTCAGTCTCACTGGTGCTTAGTACCAATTTGTGTGGAAGTGGGGTCAATGCTAAAAACAATGTTCAATAAAGTTGTTATATATTTTTACAACGTGACGATGACCTCATTGTCACATATACTGGTGCTAAATACTAGTAGAGTTGAATAATATTATTCCATCATGTATGGTGGGCAAAATAAGGAGCCACTTAATCTAACTAGGCATCACGTGCCTAGAAGGCTGCCATCACCATCAATCTCGATCCACAAATGATAAAATTAAACATTAATTTAAAGAGTAATGTTATTTAACACAACTGGTGTTAACAACACTACTTTAGGTGGTAATAATGTAGCATTCAATGAGAGGTAAAATTAAATGAATAATTTATTTTTACTTTTCATTGAGTCTATAACATTGTGTCACCTAGACGAGTGTTGTAGCATTGATGTTGTTAGATAGCATTATTTTAAGGATATTATATCAAGATTTACATAAGATGTTACATAATGTCATATGATGCTCTACCCCAATCAATTTTTTCATTTGATTTTTTCCTTCCACATTATTTTTGATAATCGTTTATGTATCATTCTTATTCTAATTCTGACTTTTTTAGGTGGAAATGGAGCTCCGGAACATTTCCCTATTATTAAACACGCCAACTTCAACACATAACCTTCATCACTCTCATTGCTTTGATCACTGGATGTCGACTCGTTGTTTGAAATCATCGTTTGGACGAGGCCCCTAAGAATCGTGGGCTCCTGCCAATCTTACCATTCATCAACAAAAACCATCATCGATGAAACGTAAATTAAATTGAAATTTGAAAAATCCATTAAACTTGTTCAAATATTTGGATAAAAATGAGTTACCCATGATCAAAAGAACTTTGACTAGCCTATGACAGTTTGTTAAAATATTGGTTCCATTGATATTTGATTCATCCCCATTTTTATTTTGGTAATAAGTTAGGTTTACGGGCATTTTTTAGAGTTAATTCTGAATTTTTCATGGTTAAGACACCAAAGGAAAAGATGAGGGACATTCTTTTAGATAATTTTTCATGGTTAATTCGAAGTGGAACACAATTATTTGTTGATTATTGGATTTTGTGCAGAAAAAAAAAATGCAACCTTTAGCCCATGCTTGGTTTGGATTAAAATTCAATTAAAATCTCAAGCCAAATTCAAGAATTAATTTTAACCACACATTTTATAGGATTAACAACTATTCAATCAAACATTTTATAATTTCTTTTTTAATCAAAATTTACTTAAAGTCTGATTTCTATTTATTTTGTTCTTCTAGCATTGATTCATTATTAATGGCTCCTAATTTTTATTATCTCTCACATTCTAAAATCTGTGAAATTCCATGGGGATTTGGCCTTATTGTGAAAGAACCTCGACATGATATCAGAAAAATTGATCAAGATCAATTTGTAAAATGTTGAAGACGCTACAGGAACAACTCATGCCGCCGGCCTGCGTGTTCTCCATCCAGTATGGGTCCCACTGCAATATGAGAGGGGAAAAGGAAATTGCTGTACAATTATTAAATTATGAAGAACCAGCCAAATATATGAGCTAATGTTCTTTTAATTCTTTGTTTTATTTATTTTTTTAAAAGAAATATTTTTTAATTCAATTACACCTCCAACTGAATTATATTCCCAGTTGCGCCGGTGCGGTGGAGGGTTGAGCCGGAGCTGATGGAGTACGGCCATAGGTGATGTCCATTTTTGCCGAGGTTGAATTTTTATTTTATTTTATTATTTTTTTTTTTTGGTAATACGAACTCACGGGCAAATTTGATATTTCAAGCCACATTAACAACAATATTGGGCGAGACTTTAATCAAGGATGTTGGATGTTAGTTTACAAAAGATCAAAAATAGAGATGTCAAGAAAGCTCCGTCTGGTACACATTAATGTAAAATTGAAAATGAAAAATATAGCTGTTACGGACTCCACACAAAAGATAGAAAGTCAAATATGATGGCTTGATGTGATAGATAACGGTCATATTTTTTCATTTTAATAGACAAATAATGGAAAACAAACGAGAACAAAGGTTAAGAATAAAAGTGAAAAAAGCGAAAAAAGCGACATTGGTTATAATTTACCCATTAGAAAATCTTTACCACTAAACAACTGAATGACCCTATTATTGCCAAAAAAAAAAAAAAAAAAAAGAAAAAAAAAAAAGACTTTCCATCCTTAACTTGGAAATGATAATAGAAATTATCGAATATTATCATTTCCAAATAATATGAGCTAATATTATACACATTGAAATCATTCATAAAGGGCTTTCTTGAATGGACCAAACATAAAGTTGTTAAGTTGTGGACAAACATGGAATTTAAGAATTTGTGTTTCTACAAAGTTGGTATAAGGATTTTGAGTCATTATTAGGCTTTTGATATCCATCAAAACGCAAAGAGAGTTTAGAGAAAATTGGTGCTCGATTTTTTTATTATTATTTTTTTTTATGTAAACTTTTTTTTCATCATAGGGAATTATTTCAACGACGAAAAAGGCATAATCTCACATTGAGACGAACCTTTATAAACTTGTATGTTCCTGAGTATTTATTTTTCTTCTTGTGAATTGATTGTTTTGGATAGAATAGAATTATGATTTCTAAATTCTCAACAGAACCGCTACTAAATAAAAGTTGATACAATTCGAATCAAGTCGAGTCTTGTCAAGGTCATCATCATTGAAACGTCGGGGAACAAATGGAAATTGCCTATAAATTATTTGGAACGGCTTGTAATGAACATCGACTCTAGTCTTTGTATAATTATGCATTCCTGGCTGTATGTCATTTGTCTTGTAGAAATTATTGAAACTATTTTTTTCTAGGAATCCACGTCACCTCGTTTTTTTTTTTTTTTTTTTTAATAATTAAACAATTCTTCATACACGGACCAAAACTCTTGCTTATAATAAATAATCCAAATATAATAATTATAAAACTTAACCAAGCAAGTCTAGGCTTAACTCTCAACTAGAAAACATCGTCCCTTGGACATGTTCATCGCTTATCAATTTGAAGTACTCTCAAATAATATAAGGCCCCATTTGTTTCTCATTAATAGAATAATGAAAATGAAAAATATAGTCGTTATGGGCCCACACAAAAGATAGAAATTCAAATATGGTGATTTGATGTGATGGAGAATGGTCATATTTTTCATTTTAATGGCCAAATAATGGAAAACAAACAAGGGCTAAGAAAACATTTTAAATAATTTCAGTATAAACATCCTCTGCCCGATGGGCATCCCAATTTTACTTGTTCTCATGGCAAAATCAAAATAACCAAAGTGCTTTAGAGAGAATAAGCCTAAGTGAACAAGCACTCGTATAAGTTTCGGTCTCACATGCATTAATGGTAAGATCTACTTAAATTACGAGATATCATGTCTCGAGCCACTCAAATTACGATACCTCAATATTGGAGTGGATCTGCACACCCACTTTGGTACTCTCTTACCACCTAAGACATTGAGGTGTCATGATTTGAATGACTCAAGTTTTGAAGTATCGTGATTTAAATGGACGATCATAATATATTTATATCCGAGATGATTCAATTGAGGTTTTTTCATCAAAAGTAGATATCGTGAAGGACTCATGAAGAAGGAAGACTATGAAAATCTCTTCGAACTATCTACTTTTGA